GCGGGCGCGTTTTGTTGTTGCTGTTGCTGTTGTGGTTGTTGTTGTTGTTGTTGTTGTGGTTGTTGTTGTTGTTGTTGTTGTTGTTGTTATTGTTATTGTTGTCGTCGTTGTTGTTGTTGTTGTTGTCATTGTTGTTGTCGTTGTTGTTGTTGTTGTTGCTGTTGGTGTTGTTGTGGTTGTTGTTGTTGTGGTTGGCGTTGTTTTTGTTGTTGTGGTTGTTGTTGTTGTGGTTGTTGTTGTTGGTGTTGTTGTTGTAGTTGTTGTTGTTGTTGTTGGTGTTGTTGTTGTTGTGGTTGTTGTTGTTGTTGTCGTCGTCGTTGTTGTTGTTGTGGTTGGTGTTGTTGTTGTTGTGGTTAATGTTGGTGTTGTTATTGTTATTGGTGTTGTTGTTGTTATTGTTGTTGTTATTGTTGTTGTTATTATTGTTGTTGTTGTGGTTGTTGTTGTGGTTGGTGTTGTTGTTGTCGTCGTCGTCGCTGTCGTTGTTGTTGTTGTTGTTGTTGTGGCTGGTGTTGTTGTTGTTGTTGTTGTTGTTGTTGTTGTGGTTGCCGTTTCTTGTTTTTTGTTCATCATTGGATCCGAGGCCTTCCTCATCATTGTCGATTCTCGATCTTCGATTCTCGATCCTCTCCTCGGTCCTCGATCCTCGATCCCCTCCTCCGCCTTCCCCTGGTCCTCCTGTTCCTCCCGCTCCTTCAGCTCCAGTTCCTGCTGCTGCCGGTCGTGCTCCTCCTCCTCCTCTTCCTCCTACTCCTCCTGCTCCTCCTCCTTCTGCCCATCCTTCTTCTCCTCCTCTGTCTCCTCCTCTTTCTCTTTCTCTTTCTCCTCCTCTTTCTCCTCCTCCTCTTCTCCTCCTGCCCATCCTACTGCTCATCCGCCACCTCCTCCGATATACGCCACTGCCCTTGGCCGATTGCACATAACACCGTTGGGGGCTTTCTAGAGGTTTCAGGCCCGCTATGACACGCGTCCGCGGATAGAGAGAATCTCGGTGCAATTGGAAGGGATGGATGGTAGGGGTCGGGTATCAGATACTGCACGAGTGCACAAAGCCTGCCTCCTTCCCCGTCTCCTTCCTCGCGTCTGCCACCTTCGTCGTCATTCTCCATCTCTTCCCTCTTTCTTCCCTCCCCTTCTCCTCCTTGACCCTCGGTATTTTCCTCCTTTCTTCTCCTGTCCATCGTGTCCCTCGCATCCACGTCTCCGTCGCCCTCGTATATGGGTTACGACATGACATAATCATAAAATTCTAAGGTCCGCGCGGATTCCTCGGATCGGCGGTGGATCACCTTCCCTGGCGCGCGGAGCGCGCCAGGGGCGGCGCCAGAGGCTTCGCCAGCGGGGTTCAGCGCCGATCCGAGAAATCCGCGCGGACCTCCGAGTTTGTTTTAATGTTCATGCCATTGGTCGTTACCCTTCGTATTGCTGCTCGCCATCGCTGTCCTTCTCCTGTTGTGTGTGGCCTTCTGCTCCCGGTGCTGCGCTGGCGTGCTTCCTCGCTTCTCTTCGTTGCTGGTATTTTGGCCCTTCACTCCTTCGCCCCCCCTCTCTCTTTCACTCTCAGTCTCTCGCTTTTTTTTTTGTTCTCTCTCTCTCTCTCTCTCCTTTCTTCCTCTCTCTCTCTCTTTCTCTATCTCGGGGGTGGACAGACCTCCTATCCTGACACGTCGATTAAGGAATTGGCCGTTTTCGGTTCGCGAGAGGGCGTCGCGGCCGTCATTTTTGCGGGTCCAGGTCCATCGGTTTCGGTCCCAGGCCGTTTTCACTAAGGGGAGGTCTATTAAAGGGAGGTTTGTCCACCGCCGATCTCTCTCTCTCGCTCGCTCGCTTCCTCCCCGCCCTCCCTCCCTCCCTGCTTTTTCCTTCCCTTCCCCCTCCTCCCCCTCCCCCTCCCCGTCCTCCTCCTCCTCCTCCTCCTTCTCGTCCTCCTCCTCCTCCTCCTCCTTCTCCTCCTCTCTCTATACATGTGTGTGTGTCTCTCTCTCTCTCTCTCTTTCTTTGCCTCCGTCTCCTCATCCTCATTCTCCTCGTTTCCGTCATTATCCTCCTCCCCCTCTTCTCTCTCTTTCTCTATTTCTCTCTCGCTTCCTCTCTGCTCCTCCTTCTCCCACTGTTCCTGTACGTCCTCCTCTGCCGTTTCTTCCTCCTCCGCCTGCTCCTCCTCCTCGTCCTCCTCTTCTTCTTCTTCTTCTTCTTCCTCCTCCTCCTCCTCTCCTCCTCTGGCAGGCTGTGGCGCGACGACACCGCCATCGCTGGGGGAGAGCGGAGGCTGCTTCATCCCGCGCCCATGCTGTGGTTTTCATTTTGAAATCTTTTGTTTTCTCCGGCACGCTCTTCGATGACACGTTTTCCGCACCTCCTCTTTTGCTCTTCGCCGTCTCCTCCCCTCCGTCCCCGTGCCCATCTTCCCCGCCCGCGCCCGCCTCTCCCAGCGCTCTCCGCACAACCTCCCCGCCGCCCTCCCCTCCCGCTCGCCTCCCTCCCTCTCCCGCTCTCCCCTCGTCTCCCGTCCTTCCTCGTCCGCCCCGTGCCGCCCGCCCTCCGGGGCCCCTTTTCCCTCTCCTCCTCCTCCTCCTCTTCCTCCTCCTCCTGCTCCTCCTCCTCGTCCCCCGCCTCCTCGTCCCCCTCCTGCTCCTCCTCCTCCACCTCCTATTCCTCCTATTCCGCCTCCTCCTCCGCCTCCTCTTCCTCCTTCTCTACCATTTTCTCCGCTCCCCTTTCCTCTTCCTCCTCCTCCTCCCTTCTTCCTCCTCCTCCTCCTCCTCCTCCTCCTCCTCCTCCTCCTCCCCTGTTTGGGCCGAAGTCCGTGACCTCGGGGTCGTCGCGGTCGCTGGCGAGGGGCGCAAACACCCCGCGGCCTGAGGGGCAGCGATTGGTGGGGGACTGGCATAGGGCAGGCCGATTCCAGGTGGATGCTTCCGCTTTCCTCCTCCTCCTCCTCCTCCTCCTCCTCCTCCCTCTCTTTCTTCTCCTCCTCACCACCATCCTCCTCCTCTTCTTTCCCTTTTCTCCTCCTCCTCCTCCTCCTCCTCCTCCTCCTCCTCCTCCTTCTCCTCCTCCTCCCCCGCGGTGCCCTGTCATGACGGCGGCTTCGGCACGCCAGGGGGGCCGGGGCAGCGTCGAACACAATTTGTTGTTTTTTTTCAGAGACTTCCACCTCTCAGGATGCGCGGAGGGCGTGACGCTCAAGAGCATCCGCCTCCTTAAAAGCCCTTTGGAGAGCCCCGATTGTGATGCCCCTGCCTTCAAGGCAGCCGCCGAGTTTCGAGAGGCCCTTCCGCAAGGCCTCCTTCGGGAGGTACTTTTTCAGCGGCCCCCAGACGGGGCCTTCTTGGGAGGCGAGGGTGAGCAGCAAGTCCTCGCCCAGGCGAGAAGGCCCTCGAGAGGGCGTGCGGACGCCAGGTGCGGGGGCGACCGCAAACCCCAGGAGCAGCCAGTCCTGCCGCGTCCCAGCGCTTGTGCCCGCCTGGATGGACCTCAACAGGCGTCTGAGGAGAGAACAGCGGGCACGATGACTTGGGATCGCTCGGACGTGTGCACTTTTTCTCGGTGGGGATTACTAAGGAGCATCCTGGATCATACTGCGAAAAAAAAACAACCACGCACGAAACCGAGAAAAACATGGAATGGATGTCCGAGCGATGGCCAGATGAAGGCTGATTTAGGGGGGGTGAAAGTCGTACCGCACATCGCCGATCCATCGGTGATGCGAGGCGGTCTGTAGACCGAGCTTCTTTACCCCGACATCATCCTCGGATCCATTTTGCCCTCGCCACACTCGAGACACGCAGAGTGGCTGCCTCGGCCGCGTGAACATTCGCGCGTAAGCTGCCCGTGGAAGGTCGCGAGTGGGCGCCTCCCTTATTTGGTATGCGGAGTTAGTGGCCCTGTCCTCTTCGGTGGCGAGCGCGGGGGTGAGGTGAGCAGGAGCAGGCCTCCTCAGAAGGCTGCAGGGCTTCTCGGAAACCCTCCAGCCTTCTTTGACGTTTTCGGTGTTTTCGGGGAAGGCTCAGAAAACTTCTCAGAAGGCCGGGGGGACTTCCGAGCCTTCTGAGAAGGCCCGCCCCTTCCCACTTCCCTCCCTCGCTCGCCGCCGACCTCTGCACAAGACCTGCGTTCTCTTCGCCGCTTCCATGAGTCGGAGGCCCAGAGGTTGACACCAACACCAACATCGGCGGTGTGCCTCCACCGAGGCAAGATGATCCCGATCTCGGTGATGGTGTAAATATTCGGGCTTCCTAAGTGGCCGAAACATTACCATCAACACCAGGATCTAGGATCATCTACGCCCAGAGGAGGCAACCCCCTGTGTTGGTGTTGGTGCCCATTTCCAGGTTTCAAAAGAGGTCCCCGGAGTCTCCACAGAGGTCCTCTTCCACCTCCTCCTCCTCCTCCTCCTCCTCCTCCTCCTCATCCTTCTCACCCTCCTCCTCCTCCTCACCACCATCCTCCTCCTCCTCCTCACAATCCTCCTCCTCCTCCTCCTCCTCCTCCTCCTCCTCCTCCTCCTCCTCCTCCTCCCCTCTGGAGTCTCCAAAAAGGTTCCTGGAGCTGGAGGACCTCTGGAGTTCCCCGGAAGCCTCCGTGGCGTGGGCCACCAGACATCTCGATCCCCCCCCTCCTCCTCCTCCCTCCTCCTCCTCCCTCCTCCTCCTCCTCCTCCTCCTCCTCCTCCTCCTCCTCCTCCTACTCCTACTCCTCCTCCTCTCCTCCTCCTCACTCCTCCTCCTCCTCCTCCTCCTCCTCCTCTCCTCACTCCTCCTCCCTCCTCCTCCTCTCCTCCTCCTCCTCCTCCTCCTCCTCCTCCTCCTCCTCCTCCTCCTCCTCCTCCTCCTCCTCCCTCCTCCTCCTCCTCCTCCTCCTCCTCCTCCTCCTCCTCCTCCTCCTCCTCCTCCTCCTTCTCCTTCTCCTTCTCCTCCCCTGCATGTTTTTTTCTTTTGCCCTCGGCCCCTGCGCCTCGCCGATGAGCCGTGCGGCCTCCGCCTTGCCCGGCCGCTCAGCGTCTCGGAGGTCCCCGGCGCGGCCGGCGCCGCGCCGCTCGACGCCGCGCTGCGTGAGGCGGCGAGGCGGGCTCACGACGCCCGCGCCGCGTCGTCGTGGTCGTGGTCGTCGTCGTGGTCGTCGTCGTGGTCGTCGTCGTGGTCATCGTCGTCGTCGTCGCCGTCGTCGCCGTCGTCGTCGTCGTCGTCGTCGTCGTCGTCGTCGTCGTCGCCGTCGCCGTCGCTCTCGCCCTCGCCGTCGCCGTCGACGTCGTCGTCCCGGCCTGCGCCACCTCCGACCTCCTCCGACCTGCTCCTGGCCTCCGCGTCCAAGGAGGACGGGAGGAGGGCGATGAGGAGCATCTGGAGAAGTACGGGGAGGAGCATGGGAAGGATCATGGGAAGGATGAGGAGAAGGATTAGGTTGGAGATGGTGATGATGATGCTGGTGGTGGTGATGATGATCATGGTGATGATGAGGTGGAGGATGATGATGGTGGAAATGATGATGCTGATAACGATGATGATGACGACGATACTAATGATGATGCTGATGCTGATGCTGACGCTGATGATGATGATGATGATGATGAGGATGATGAGGAAGAGAAGGATGAGGATGAGGAGGAGGATGAAGATAAGGATCAGGATGATGATGATGATAATGATGATGATAATGATGATGATGATGGTGATGATGATGCTGATGATGATGATGATGGTGTTGGTGGTGATTCTCATGACGACGGCGACGACGACCATGATGATGATGATTATGATGATGATGATGATGATGATGATGATGATGATGATGATGATGAGGAGGAGGAGGAGGAGGAGGTGGATAAGGATTATCACGACAATGATAATGATAAGGATGCTGATGATGATGACGATGTTGATGGTGTTGGTGATGATTCTACATAATTTACCTCATGTGTCCATCGGCCCCCTCGCCCGAGTGCTGCCGCTCCGTTGCAGAATGCTGTGTCTGTAACCCCTTTCGCTCAAGCTTTTTCGGTCTAGGCTCCGAGCAGTGCATGGCAGGATTGCTGCTGGGCGCCCTGGCCGGGCTGGCGCACGTGGGCGGGCAGGCGAGCCTCCTCTGGCTCTCGCGCTGCCCGTCGGTGCCGGCCTGCCCGCCCTGCCCCCAGTGCCCAGCGTGCCCTGGGGCCCCGCCCAACCAGCCCGCGCCGCTGTCCAGTGGCGAGCTGGGGGCCTGTGCGCTGCTGCTCTGCGCGGGGTGCTTCTTCTTCACCGGCCTGGCGCTGGGCGTGTGGCTGACGCCGACGCGGGTGGTTGTGAAATCGGCGCCGCAGGATGGTGGAGCCCAGCCAGCGGCTGAAGGCGTGGGCGTTCGTGTTGTACAACGACGGAGCCCCGCCTCGATTATGGCACTAACGGTGAGTCGTGGGAGTCGTGGGGTCGTCGGAGACTAACGTGCTGGCGTGCACGCTGGACGACGATGTCTACAGCTAGATGTTGCTGGACCTCGACAGCCAGCAGGACGTGGCGGCCGTGCGTTTCTCCGACCGCCGATGGCCCCTTCCCGGCGGTGTCCCTCGAGCGGAGTGCTACCGCTTCAGGAACGACCTGGCGCCGGCGGACCTGGCGGCTCGGGAGTCCGACGCCGTGGCGCCCGCGAGCGAGATCTTCTTGGCGAGGGAGAGCCAGCGGCCGCCCGGCGGTGCCTCCTCCAGGTGGCGCCCTGGAGTTGCTGGGGGAGGTTCTGGCCGAGGGCGCAGCAGCCCCTGTGGGCCCGCCGCCCGCGGGAGGACCGGAGGAGGAGGGACCAACTGCGGCGCCAGGTTCGGATGCACGCATCCTGGACCTGCAGATGGTGGAGGTGCCGGAGGGCACGCCTCCGGCCTGTGGTCGGCGCCCGTGGCGAGACGTGGTGACGATGTTCTCGGTGGTGCAGTTCAGTGACTGGCCGATTCCAGGTCCCAGAACGGTGGCCTGGTGTGCGGCCTTCATCTAACAGACGAGGCGGTGGTCCCACGGACCACCACTTTGTTCTTCAAGCAGGTCTACGGGTTCACGAAGACCGACTGAGGCGTGGACGCGCACAGGGTGATCCTTCGGATGATGGAGGAGGCCGGCTGATACGACGGCTTCGACGTGGCCAACGCGGCGGCCCTGGAGGTGGAGATGCGGCACGCGCGGCTCGTGGAGTACGTCTACGCCCAGGACGCCGCCGGCGGCGGCAATGGCAAGGGCAAGCAGGGCCAGAGCGGAGGCCTCCAGGACCGAGCCGGCCTCGTGGACGAGGCGTCCGTGTTCCTGGGCACCCATCGCGACACGAGCGAGGCGATGTCGCCCCAGACCTCCTCGGCTACGTCGCGAGGGAGGTGGAGAGGGACGCGTCGGTCATGAAGCAGGTCAGGAAAGCGAGAGAGGAGCGTCGTTTGCTCTCCTCGCAGCAGCAGTCGGGGCGGGCCCCGGAGGGCCAGCAGGAACAGGGGCGATGCAGGCCGGCCGGGCGGCGGAGGGCTCCGACTGCCGCCCGGCGTTTGCGAGGAGTTTTTCGAGCGCGCGCGCCCAGGGCGATGGCCGCCAGCGCGACATCCTGCCCATCCCTCTCGAGGCCCGCGCCACCGAGAAGGATGCTAATTCGGTGCCACCTTGTCGTTCGGTGCTTCGGCGAGTTTAGCGTCGGTCCCACTTGCAGTCCGGGACGGCGGAGACCATCGCCGCCCTCAACAACCTCTACTGCGGCGCGGGCGAGCCGAGAGAGGATCGAGCTCCCCGCCTGGCGGCTGCTCAGCCCGAGCGCGCGTCTCGGGCCCGCGAGGCCTGGTCGCGCCTCGGCCCTCCGCCGCCCGACGTGGAGCCCTCGGGGGCCTTGGGCGAGCTCCGGGGTTCGCGGCGATGCGACGGCGAGCCGTCTGTCGTCGCGCCGTTCGACGTGCGCAACCTCGCGCCCCCGCCCGCCGGCTTCGAGCCCGTCGACTTGGAGTCAGCTGGGGGCGCGGCGGGCAGATTCATCGCTGACCGCTCGAGGCTGGGGGCGGGCGTCAGTCGCCCCGTTTTGGGGCCCTGTGCTTCGCCAGCGGCCGCGGGTCTACGCTGCCATCCTTCGCCGAGCCGAGGTCGCGTACGCGGCTCTCGAGTGCCGGCGCTCGGCGGGGGCGGAGGCGGGCGCCTTCTCGGTCTGGGAGAAATCAGGGGGGCAGATCGAGAGCGATTATAGATGCGCGGCTCGCGAACTGCGTGTTCGACGAGCCCGACTCCGTGGAGCTCGCCACGGGCCAGGCCTTCAGCGCGGCGCGCGCGGACAAAGTGCCGCCCATCGTCGTCGGGGGCGTCGACGCCCAGGCCGCCTTCTACGCGATGCTGCTGCCGAGCGACCTCCGCGTGCACTTCAGCCTGGCTCCTGCGCGGGCTGGCGCGGTGAACGTGGCGAGCGTCGAGGGCCAGACCGCGTGCGCGCAGGGCCGCATCGTGCCGGTGCTTCGGGCCCTGCCGATGGGCTGGTCGCAAGCGCTCTGGGCCTGCCAGAAGCTGCGCGACGCCATCGTCGACAGCTCGACGAAGATGGGTGATGGCGATCGGCTTCGTGACGCTGCGCCGCCGCCACCCCTGGCCCGGGGCCTACGCGCGAAGTACGTGGACAACTTCGCCTCGCTGAGCCAGGACGCGGAGGAGTTGAAGGATCGCGTCCCGCCCGCCACCCGGGCGCTGCAGGGGGCCGTGCTGCCCGCGCACGCGCCGCGCTGGGGGGCTGGGGGTGAGGCGCTGGGCTGGCGTTTCTCGGTCCTCGAGCCCGCCGTGGAGGTGGCGCCGCGGTCAGCCTGGCGCCTCCGGTTGGGCCTGCTGGCTCTGGCCGACAGGAAGGTCGTCGGCGGCCGCGAGTTGTCGAGCGTGATCGGCCACTACACTGTTCGAGCCCTGATTCGCAGGGAGCTCCTGAGCGCCCTCTCGACGAGTTGCGCGTACGTCGAGGTCTTTGAGGACAGGTCAGGCCGGCTCTTGGACAGCGCGCGGCAGGAGCTGCGCTGGGCTGCCGCGCTGGCGCCCCCTGGCGCGGCGGCAGCTGGGCGCCCGCTGGGGCCCGCGGCCCGCCGTCTTCGTCGCCTCCGCGTGGGGCAGGGGCGTCATGCAGAAGCGCGTGCCGGAGGAGTGGCTGGCGGAGGCCGCCCAGTTCAACGAGAGGTGGCGCTTCTCGCGGTCTGAGGAAGGCTCGGCGGCTGCTCGCGGAGATTTGGAAGTCCCCGATCTCGGAGTTTTTCGGCGCCGCGCCCCGCGCGTGCCTCGATCCATGTGGGGGGGGGGGGGGGGTCTGGAAAATGATCTCATCATCCCCGTGGGATCGTCAGGGGGCGCAGGTCGCCCTGGCAGGCATAGCGGGGGGTGGGCCTTGATACGCATTCTGCAATATCGGAAGGCCGTCGGTGAGCGCCGCGATGTTGTCGGACGCCGCGTCGTTCATCCTTGCCGCCTCCAAGGGCCGCTCATCGGCTCAAGGCGTGGGCCGCGTGGTAAGACAGTGGGCCGCCTTCTGTTTGATCGGTTCCGTGTCCTTTTACCTCTGGGTTCCCTCCGACGACAGCTCCCGGGGCGGCCCGCCGCGCAGCGCGGAGGCCGCGCGCGGCCCGCTGGGCGCGACGCTGCCGCGGCCGCCCGACGTCGCGAAGACGATCCTGGGCGGGGTGCCGAAGCCCGCGGGCCCGGCCGCCAGGCCGAAGGCGACGCTGCAGAGCCGGCCGGCCCACCCGACCTCCGGGGCGCGGGCTTCAGGGCCAGGGCGGGTGCCGAGGCGGCTGGAGCCCAGAGTCAGAGCGGGCCCTTCGGCTCCGCGCAGGCCGCGCAGAGGCGCGGGCGCGGGGGCGGCCCCCTGGCCGGTCGCGGCGACGGGCGCTCGCACGCTGAGAAGGGGGGCCTCGCAGGTCGAGCTGAACCTGGGGAAGCGGAGGAGGCTGGAGAAGCACGGCAGCCAGAGGACAGACGCCAGCGCCCCAGTGGGCTTCCTGGAGCGCCGCGCCGTGCGGCCCACGGAGACCAAGTACCGCAACCGGGTGGCCGTCTTCGAGCGCTGGGCCCGGGCGTCCAGGATGCCGCTGGAGCCGGCGTCGGCGCTCGACGCG